CACGTAAAGCTGGTGGTGCACACAGTCACTGGTATGAACCTCTTGCGTGAAAGGCAGAGACAATGTGGCGGAGACTGACAGAGAGAGGCAAGTAATCGGCATGAACCCAGCTGGGAAGAATGAGGGTAATTAGGGGAGAGGTAAGTCCAGCTATTTACTCTAATTAGCAGAGTGGAATTGGACCAAGTGGTAATTAACAGGCAGGGTGCATAACAACATGTTAACCCTTAGAAAGTGTTGGTAGGAAAAATCTATCTCTTATTATTTCCCTTTAAAATAAATGGATTTATTTGTGCTGCATATCATTCATTCAGGCCTTAGAGCTGCAAGGTCACAAAGTGTCTAAGGTAAAGTTGTTTGGGAGTGTTTGGGATGAAAAGAATGCTTCTCATAACAAACTAGACTGTTTCTCAGGGATTATTTCACAACATTATGTGTTATCTTGTTTCTTTTTACTTTGCAAAGTAAAATAAAGTAGCGACTGAGTGAGACCCATCAATCTCTGTTTATTTAACTGGGGTGAATAGCTGAAAACCTTTTCCCCATAAGAATATGCAACACAACAGATGACATTTACCTGATAAGAAATATTTCAGATTCTGATGTTTATGATTTGATGTACAGTGTTGAATGTGGCCTTATCTTTACAGGTAACTTGATGAAAGAAGTGTAGGGCTGTCAGCTGCTTTGAGGAGCGCTAAACCTGATGGCTAAAACTAACACAGTGTTGCTTTAAGGTGTCACAACAGTAACTAAATTTTAAAGTTTACCTGTTTATCTTGCAAAGAACTTGTTTAATATCTTAAATTCTGTGTTAATTTACTGAAAATGAACCTCAAGACATGAACAGCAATACAATCTCTGTCTAGCTCTGAAGGAACTATTGAATGTGATGTAATGGAAGTCTGACATTTTGTTTGAGGTCCATCCATTGGCTCTAATCTAAAAGTTTGCTTTCAGTCTATAATGAAACGTGAAGCTAGTAATAAATCTTTAGGGATTTCCTCGTCCCATGACATTATATAATCATTTCCTCTAAGATACTGAGCTTCCTCTAAGATATTTAGTTTACCACACAGAACAGGAACTTAATCCGCTGTTACAGTTAAAATTTAAAAAGTATTTAGTTTCATAAACACTCCTCTTGTTTCAGATAAATGGTTCTGTTTTTCGAAAAGTGTAGCATCTATTTTCACTTTCAGAATGACAGTGATAGGAGAGGCTTAACGTCACACAGAAAACTGTACAAATGATGTTAAATTAAACTAAACCATCAAGAGAGGAATGTCAGGCCCTAAATGAATGAGGTTTTCTAGTTATTTGGACTTTTTTTACATTTAAACTTTTCCTAAAAGCACATGAAATAACTATTGGAGAAAGTACATCCATTGACACAAAGTTACCTCTTTGTTTCCTGGAATCAGCAAACTGCTCTCTCTCTTTTGATCACAATCTAACAAGCTTTTACAGGAAGAACCTCATTTTTATCAGTCCAGCTAAACTTGAATTTCCTTGTTGAAACAAGGAACTAACTAAAGTTTTTCTAAAAGGGTTTTGCCCCAGGGAACGAAAGTCAAAATGTCAGGGTTTGGTTGAGGTTTTGAGGACCGAAATGCAGAGGCTGTGACACAGGTGAGTTCTTGTAGTTTTAACGGAGTTCTCAACAGGTAACAGATGCAGGAATCCAAAAATCCAAAGCAAAATGCAAAACAAACCAGAACCGTGGAGACATCAGGGAAAACATGCAAGAAGAGGCAGTGAAAGACGAGGAATCAGCACTGAGGACCTTCACAGGGAGAGTTTATATGGGAGACTGAACAAAGACAGGATGAATGAGCTGATTGGGAGCAGGTGTGAACAAAGGATTCTAGAAGGAGCTAGAGAAAAGGAGACCAACACAAGAGGGCGCCAAAGAAAACCCTAAGAACTCAAATATAACCAGAAAACACAACAAAATAGGAATCAAACCAATACAACTAGAAAACATGGAGAAAGGTAAAACTGAATACTCAAAAGAAAACTAAACAGAACCAAAACAGTGTCAAGGGTAGTATGGAGGTATGGTAAAGACCCAAGTGCAGAGACCGAGGCAGCTGATGCATTTGGAGATTTATTGAAGGGGATGGCAACATCAGAACAAATCCAACAGGTACCAGAACAGTACAGGAGGTAATGGAGAATCTCCACAAAATGATCTGCTGCACAGGAGTATAAATACTGGGGAGAAACAATGAATGGATAATCATCGGATAGAGAGCAGATGTGGACAGAAAGAGCTGAAAGGGAACTGAAGGGAAAAGGAGAATCGGACAAGGGGGCAATAGTGAGCAACAGGGAAAGATGATAGGGCTTAAATCTAACTGAAATGACCAATTTGGCCAAAAGGAATAAATAGAAACACATGACGACAAATTGAAAAGTTTTCACTGAAAACTAAATTATGGGGAAAAGACTCAATAAACTTAGATGACTAATATGCCATGGAGAAGATAACAGAAAACAATAAATATGAAAAACCGGAGTGAGGATTCGATACCAAGAAAGTGGAAAAGAGAAAACTATAAGAAACAATAAGGAAGAAGTCTTTCAAAAATGATATAAATCTTAACGGCAAACACAGAATAACAGAAATCAAAGAGTAACTGAAAACCCAAACTGAAAACCTGAAAAGAACCAAACAAAAATCAGAACAGCAGGTAATGACACCTAAAGTTTTTCACAACTGACAAAAGCCACTGAACCAGGGGAGTCCAGTCTGGTTTAATGCACGACAAAGACGCTAAGTTCGAATCCAGTGACCATCATGTCATATCGCCACGCTCAGGTCTGTTGGGATTTGTGGACTCCTCATTATGTGAGCTCGTTTTGCCCATTTTGAAAGAGGGCTCCACTGTATCCTATGAAGCCTTTTCCCCCATAATTAATTGCGAGTCCAAGCAAAATGGCTGCTCCATGCTCAGAGGAAAAAGGGAAATGTTGCCAAACAGTGTTAAATATTGGAAGTGCAGTTCAACATGGTACAAGTAGGTGAATAGTTCTGTCTAGAATTGATGAAAATATTTTTTTTAATGGTTATTGAGTCAGATGTGTGGCGGATTATTTTTGTCTGTCCCTGTGTAAATGTGTGTGGCGGTCATTTAAGGACAGATTCCATATCTCTGCAATGTAGGGACTATAAATCCTATAATCGCGATGACGGCACTGCCTTCGAAGCTCCTCAAAGATTTCATTAGCACCCAGAACAATAGTGAAAGTTTGGTATCCATTCTTTGCCTGCTTTTTGTGTCAGCCGTTGTGGTTGCTAGGTGACAGAGCTGTTCATACGGTTGCAGTTCCCAATTCTCTTGAGTGGTGCTCCACTTTACACGAGTGAATAAAGTGAATGTTGTAAAGTGAAGGTTCGCAAGCAAGAACGATTGTAGCCAGTTTGTCGGAAGCATCTTGCTAACCAGTTAGCAACTTAGTGCTAGTAGGTTCTGAATGGGAAATTCCATTGGGACCAAGTAGCATTTAGAAACGACGCTGTCAAGGAACGCTATGGACAGAGAAAACATGCAAGAGGAGGAGAGTTTAGTGTCGGAGGTCGTGGATGAGTCTCCTCCGTCATCCATTTTTTATTTAGAGGAGGAAAGCGGGGACGAAGATGTTGTGGAAGAGGACGCCAGGGCTTACAGCCGTACATGTTAGCTCGCAAGGGCTCAAACATGGGCTAAAAGACACAGATGTCCATCCCCGTGAACACTGGAACGTAACTCAATTTTAAATTAAATAATGATTCATATTTCAACCGTTGCGTATATTAGCTGCGACATATGAATAAAGATGCTATGACTCAGAATTTTTGATTGACAGATGACTGTTGATATATGATTGGCCGAATTTAGGTGCACAAGCTGACGTATAACTTACTGGCCTGCATTTAAATAATAATAATAAAAAAAAAAAAAACTGATTTTAAGACAGGATGTTTTCTTTAAACTGAAATTTTCTATCTTTTGAGACAATATCATCTGATAAAGCAAACATTTATAAACATTTTCTGTGTCTTACAGTGGAGGTTTAGATCAGCCATTGTGGAAAGAAAATCCCCCAAAACAATCTGAGTGACTGAAAGAACTTCATATTGTTTTTGGGGAAAGAAAATTAGGTTTTGAGGAAATTTTCTCACTTTAAGTTTTGGCTGCAAAAGTTATTTCTAAAAGCTTGAATAAAAGTTTGGTTGAAAAAGCAGCCCTGACAAACCTGGTAAACATGTAGGAAAGTCCTGAGGCTACTTGGCATCTTCAGGATGAACATGGGCCTCATTTCTTGTCATCAGTTTCAGAAACAAAAACCAACTCAACATTTTTAGTCTGAAACTTTTAGAGCATTCTGGAGCTATAGATTTAGGAACATTCACTAACTAAAACTTTTTCATGCAGTCACAGGTGTCTGAAATATGGGGTCTTACTTTCAATCTAAGTTAAGCTGTTAAAGGGGTTTTTCTTAAAGGAAAAGAAAATCCGATATATTTTACTATCGTCAGGTTGCTTATCAGACATTTAGGTCCTCTTAAAGAGGATTAAATTTCGGTTTGAAGCTCATTGTTTTCTACTTTCTCTTTGGTTATCTGTTTCCTTGATGGGAAAATGTAAGGAATTTGGAGCAGGTGCATTTCAAGGGTGTGGACAAACTATACCTGCATAAAAGGATGGAAAATCAACAGGATCACCGGACAGAGAGCTGAAACAGCCACCTGCAGAGTTTCATCCACTCCACCTCACTAACGGTAAGATAAGAAGTTCTAAAGGTCTCCAATCTCAGATTCTATTTTACTACAGACTACATATAAACCTATGTAGATTTCTGCTCAATGAGTGTCTCTCTTCTTCATCTGTATTCTTATAAAGGTAGAATATTTCATGCTTGGTCTGTATTTGTTTATGTTAGTTCTTTTCCTTTTCTGTTAATTATTCTCCCTCACTCAGCTTCCCTGCCTTCATTCTGCTGCAGATGTTTCCTCTGAGTAGTTCAGGCCTCAGTAGTTAAATTCATCGTTTTCATTGTTTGCTGCAGGATTCTTCTGTTAGACGTACCGTTACTCTTTGACGCCGCACTCCAAGCCTCCTGTAAGTTCTCTTTATTTCATTATTAAAGTATTCATTTATTAAAGTGCATATATATCTGCTTGGGCAAAATAATTAAATTATGACCTAACTGTTTTGCTGGTAATCCTTTTATTTGGGTGGAATTAAAACAGTTCTAAGAAGAAGCAGAGTTTCATCACCAAATTTTAGTAAAGCAGCATCTGTTGCTGGAAACAGGTGAAACAAATATTATCTTCAGGGGAAATTTTGTTTCTGGAAAGGATGTTTTTCCCCTACAAAAGTTTCTGGTAGTTTAGGAAATGATTTGGAGGTTTGCTACAAAAAAAAAAAAAAACAATGCATCTTTAAATATACATTATTTTTGTTTTAGCTTTTGATTTTAACTTTTTAAAGCCAAGTGTATCACGTTTCATACATGAGTTTTTGAGGCTTCTGCATCATCAGTGTGATATTTTCGTACTTGAAAACCCTAACTTACACAATCAGACTCTGTAGTGAACAGAAAAAGTGTAAAAGAATAAACAAAAATGCTTAATGTTTAAAAATTCATGCAAATAAATGCTGTAATTTAAGTAGTTCAGTTATTTAATTTGTCAGAAAAGTAATTTACAATTCTGTTTTTTTTTATTTATTTAATCTTATGTCTATTTTTTCAGGCTTTAAAGGGTTGAACACTTTTTACTATATTTCTTTTTTTACTGTTTATTTTGGAGAAACTCTTCAGTTTCAGTTTAATTTTGTCAGTTTATTTATTTACAACAAATATAATTGAAAGCACTTTACAGAGAAAATTCCATACAATCACACAGACGGGTTAACAGTTTTTCTATCTAAGGAAGAAGCAGCTGCACTGCATCGAGCACGTTAGGTGAAAATAAAGGTGGACCCTGGTAGATGCCTTCTGTTTGCGTGTCGTTGCTGTAGCTGTTATTAATACTAAAGCATGACAGTTTTTAGTCATGTTTAAACTATGTCTTTCTTTATCTTCAGTTGACAGTGATGCTCTTTTATATAAGTGTTTTTTTCTCTTTAACAGTCTGGAGGAAAAAACAAGAACTCCAGAAAAATGTTATAACTTTCCTATATTATTCTATGTTCTGATGTCAAATGCATTCCAATACTTCTTGCTCTCAGGAAGAACAATTCGAGTCTTTGACAGATGGAAAACCTACCGCAGTGAACTTCCCACATGTTTGCTGCCCTTTATTTGAAAGCAGGATGAAAGGAACTTAGGTTTGCAGGAAAGATCAGAAATGTGGGACTCAAAGGAGTGAGCTCTGCCTCTATAGATGGGTTGCAATGCTGCACCTCTAACAATCATCTCTACATTAACAGATTAAATAAAGTCACTAGTTGAAAGCAAACAATTTAATGCAAACCTGAAAGTTTTTTACTTAAAGAACAAGAATTATGTCTAAAATTGGATTTCACATATCTACACACTTTCAGATCCTCCATAAAAAATAAAAAAAAAGTGCAGCAAATAAACTATTAGGCAACCAGTAAAGGAGGGTAAGGTACGGGCGGTTTCCTTTAACATCAGCATTTATGGAATGAGACGAGTCCAGAAAACTTTCATTTCTGAAGCGTTTGAGGAAGTTTACGATAAGTTTGTTCCCTTTGGTCCTGTGCCAAAAAATCTGTTCCTAGAAATGACTCCTTTCATTTTCACAAGGCAAGGCAAGGCAAGGCAAATGTGTTTGTATAGCACTATTCAGTTCAAAGACAATGCAAAGTGCTTTACATGATTAAAATACAGGAATAAATAAATAAAATAAAAAATGCAGAAACAAAAAGGAATATTAAAAACAGTTGGACTAAAGAAAATATGTTTTAGTGCATCTTAAGTCTTTTCACCCAAGTATGGAGATAAGAGTACCATCAAAAAAATTATAAATAGGCATCTGAATTTGTAAATGTAAGTCAATAAAGGCGGCCTTCCGTGTTCCAAAATCAACATTTTTCTGAAGGCTGTGGGCGGCAACAGGTGGGGTTTCATAAACGCACTAATAATTTGGAAAAATATATATTGTTTATTTCCAGAAAAGAAATAATAAACTTAACTTAATCTGCTGTTACAGCCTTCAAAAAATCTTTTTATCACCTCCTGTCCTCACACCAAACATTTGAAGAACATCTAAACCATCCTCCCAGCCCTTGCTGAGTGTTCCCAATCTTCTAAATTTGTGTAAAATTTGTGTAAAATTTACCAAAGTAAACGTAGGATAAACTTAGCAAAAATTCCAAATATAAAAATGATAGATCTTGGATTCAGACTTACTTAGATATAATTGGTCTAAAAAATTAAACTGAACTTGTTATTTACAATTCTTTTTACATAAATGGCCACAACAAAAGGTAAATAAATGTAAGATTTGTATTTGTTCCTTGTCAGCATACAAATACATGTGATGTCAGTTGTTTCTTCTGAGAGAATAAAACTTAGAACTTTCCAATACGTAGAAAAGAGTAGAAATGTACAATCCCTGAAGATGCTGTTACACTCCATGCCAGCTGGTGGCAGTAAAACCTCTGAAGAACAAACCATCAATTACGATTATTTGACTGATGGTTCTGTTTTTGTCTTCTGGTTTAAAAGCAGATGGAAAATAACTGAGGTTCAGAGCAACCAGCTGGGAATATAACAGCTTTATCAGGGGATTTATTTGGACATTTGTGATTCATATTTGCATTGTTGCAAACGTCTTAACTGGATTCTCACAGAGGAAACATCTGATGTCACTTATATGAGAGTTATTGATGTCAGAATTAAGGACTGTAAGAAAAACAAGATGCAAAACAGCAAAGGGAGAAAAGTGGACGTGTGAGAGGATGAGGGTGAAGACGATTTAATTATTTTTCCTTCCTTTTTCAGGTCCACATATTCTTCAACATGGGGTCTCAAAAGCCTTTTGATTCAGATACAATGAAGGAGCTGAATAACCGCTTTATCTGCTACATCAATAAGATCCGGTCCCTGGAGAACCAGAACAACACACTACAAGGAGAGCTTGATATTCTGAAAGAGACACAGTCCAGCCTGTTCAAGGAAGAGCAGAACCGTTTAGATGAGCAGATCACGTCCCTGAACAATGAAAAAGAAAACTTAAGGGAGCAAATAAATGAACTGAAGGAGAGGTAAGGAAGTAAGGGTAATGTCTGCATTCAGCACTCTACTTGTTTTGTGTTACTTTTTCACCATACATAATACAACATATTTCACTCAGATTTGATCTGACTGCTGTAGTAACAGATGCAGGTCTTTTGGGGTGCAGCCTAGAATATCCCCAGACTGAAGCTGTAGCTCATGAATCTATAAAATAGCTCAATAATATTCATACGGGAGGAACTCCTGCTACTGGTATTCATGTGCTTCTCCAGGGCCGTCCAAGGTTTTGTTTCACTTGGACGTTTTTACCCCAGAAGTAATAGACACGATGAAATACATTCATTGTTAAAGCTGTTTTATTACTCTTACAACTATGGTTCCTATTTACAGATTTTTAGAAATATCTGTATTCCAGTGGGTTGGAAGACAAAAAGTTTGGGAACCTCTTTGAGCAACATTAAGAGTTTGAGTCAGACAAATAATTTAACTATTGTTAAGGAAGAAATTATTCTAAAATAGTTAACTTTGGAAAAAGGTTGGCTTTCTTTCTTCCTTTCCCAGGTCCGCTCGGCGAGCTGCGTGTGGCCACAAGGAAAACCAGCATTGCGTGTTGACATCACAGAATTACAGAGTTTAATCCAATATAAGACAATGCATAAACTTAGAAATAAGACAATGCACAAACCTACACCAGAAACTGCAGAACAAGGGAGATATATATTCAATTACCTGACATAAATGGAGAGGAGGAAAGAAAGCAAAGACGTACAAAGACATCTTTGAAGAGTTGCAAGAGCAAATCTGATTTTTTACTTCTGTGTAGAAAGTTTTAACCTCTTGTATTTAATTTATTCAAACAAGGCTGGCTTTTGCTCCTCCAACCAGGAGCTATCTCTGAAACTTAGAGCTTCCCCTAATTTACGGCAAACATCTGGCGTCCAGGAATTCTAAAATCTTCTGGCTAAAGAAAACATGAGATAAGACCTCACAGAATAGCTGTGGAATCTTCCTACCATAAATTCTCCGGAACAAACTTAAATTCAGTAATCTGGTTCAAGGAAAGGTTATCTTCACAAACTTGTTCAAAATTAAGAAATATGTTAAAAATGAGAGTGCTCAACATACCTTTTACACATGCCATAAGATTAACTGTATTAAAGACTAAAAATAATCATTTTTCTTTAACACTATCTGTATCCTGCAGAACACTACAGATGAGGAACCCCCCTTACCCAGCAGCTGCAGCAAATTAGGTTCTTGCAAATGCCTGGAAATTTGTTATTGATGATCAAAAATGAATGAAGTGGGGGCTGCATAAAATTTGGAGAAAAGCAGACATAAAATATGTAAAAATAAAAGTATCTAATTATTTTTTTATCATTATAAAATGAATTATTTTCAAATCGTTATTATAAAAAAACTTGAAAAATTAACATCTTTGAGTAGACTCTCTCTAAAAGTGAACCATGAGGCTCCTCCTCTCTCCATCATGTCAATGATTATTTAAAAAAAACAACACATTTTAATACATTTCCACTGATTCTCTGTTTTCCAGCTTGAGAAATGAGACTAATAAGAAAGATGAAGCAGAGAGAAAAAAAAAAAAATCGGAAAATGTAAGTAAAATACAATTTTTTTTCATTTTATTTTGATGTAATTTTAACCTTTAGAAATTTGGAGTAACTGGACATATTTAGTTTATCAAGATTAAGGATAAAGACAGCTTTCTGAGTCTGCAAGTATTTTTTTGTATGAGTTAATAACCTTTTATGGTTCAAAGAAAGTAAAATATTTCCTGTATAACTATAATCTGCTATGAGTCACATCTAAAAACTGTTGATCTAAATGACAGTAAGCTACGGGTGAAAAATTAAAGATGTTTTAATATAATGTTAGAATAGTGATGAGCGTTGCCTCATAACAGACGGAGGGAGGTGATGTTTTATGCCATATCTGCTCAAGTTTAGCCTTTTAAACCCATCATAGCATCGGATGTTTCTCTTAGTTTGGAGATATAGTTGATGGCTTGGATGAAGTCATAACTCATAACATCTGTCTTCGTTGATGGTTACTGACCAAAATACTAACTCTGTGAAAATCTAGAAACAGCAGGAAGAGAAGAAGAAGCTGGAGACTCAGATTTCTACCCTGAGGAACCATATAATTCAGAAGGTGCTCATTGTTCTCTCACTTATTGTCCTTTCTTCTGAGGCTGTGGGGGTGTGTGTGTGGGGTGGAGGTCAGTGTGTGTGTGACATCACCAAAACAAACTTCCTTGTCAATAAGACTCTATGACTAAAGATTATAAAGATTTCTTTTTTTTTTTTTACACATAATCCTTCAAAGAAGAAACAACTTTGCAGCTCCAATTTTAAGCATAAATATTTAAAGCTATGACTTATCACAAATCTCTACATCACTTCTGAATCTTTTCCAATTTTCTGAGCAAAATAAAGTTGCAATAACATTTAAAAGACATGTGGATGTGTTTTCTAAAAACAAACAAAAAAAGAACCTCAAATTTCAAAAGCAAAAGTATAAAAAACATTAATTTATTTTCAGTTTTGCAGGGTAAGTGCTTAATTTGAACAGGTGTTAGATAATAATTAAGGCTTTTATTAGAAGAAGGTAAGTGTGTTAAATGAAGTGTTGGGAGTAACAGCTTTACAGAATAATGGTGTTGGTAACTGCTGTAGTTTTTCATCAAATCAGTAGTCTCACTGCTTACTTTTCACTGTGCAGCATCATTACTTTACTTGTGATCCAACATGACAGTCAAGGCTCAAAAGAGGACCCAGTATTCAAGGCAGACAGTCAGATATTTTAAAGAAAGGCATTAATTAAAGATCTGCAGTGAGCAGCTAGGGCATCTAAGGCAGGAAATTTTGCAGGAAGAGAACACAGGTTAGTGACCATGTCTATCTGGCGGATGAATATGAACGTGTGAGTCACTAACCTGGTCTTAAAGTTCAGTCTGTGCCCAGAGGACGAGGTAGCCAAACCTTTTAGCTTCTAACCCACTGGAATACAGGTAGAGGGTCCCAGATGCTGTAGCCCCTGAGGTCAGAGAACTGGCACAAGAAAAGACTAAGGAAGGCCGACGCCAAGGACGCGCTCAGGATTCAGAACCAGGAGATCAGAGGTCTGAAAAGGTTCTAGAGGGAAATCCAGGATGGTGTCAGGAATCAGTTCCAAGTTAGGTACACAGACAGAAATCCCGCAGGAGTCCGAAGACAGGCCAGGCAAACAGACCAGAACAGGAACAGGCAGGCTCAAAGGTCCAAAGGCAGAGCGGGTCAGAATAAGGCAATCAGAACATAATCAGATACGCTAGAGAACTATATAGATAGACTATATAGACTTGAAAGCAAACTGAAAAAACCTCTAAAATATTTTGTTCCTTCAAATAGACCGGTAGTTGATTATAGAATACCTTCCTGAGGATTTTTGAAAGGAATGGTATTTTAGAAATAGGCATATAGTCATCCAGAACAGAGGGATCCAAGCTGGGTTTCTGAATTAGAGATTGGACGACTGCATGTTTTAAATTTCTAGGAACTACACCTGAAGACACACTGCTATTCAAAAGAGCAAGCACTGAAAGACCTATTGCTAGAAAAACATCTTTAAATGATCTGGTTGGAATAGCCTCATCCGGGGAACCTGTTGGCCTTAAATGACTAACCACCTCTTGCAAAGACACTAAGGTCAGAACAGTCCTACAAGAATAGGGAGAACATGCTAACTCTATGCAGAAAGGGATTTGAACCTGTAACCTTGTTGCTCCAAGACTCATGCTAACAAGTAGCTATCCATCTTTCTGTTGTTTTGAACCTGGTGAAAACCCAGATGTTCAAAGAAAGGAATGATGCCTGTAGCTGGCGTCCGTAGTTTTATTAGTAACATCAGTACAAACACAAATACTCATGGGACTTTGACTTCATCCTTCAGCAGAATAAGGAAGTTGAAGAAACTAAGAAGTTGAATGAAACACTTAAAGGTCGTCCTGCAGACAGTCCTGATGGCTATAAGAAAAACTTGGACAAGATTTTGGAAGAAGTAAGGAAACAGACTCAAAGTTTTGCAGGGAAATGCAATGATCCCGAGCATAAAAAGATCAACCCATCCGAGGTAAGTTGGGGTCAATTTTATTCTTGTTTAAATGTGCGGTTGTAAATTTGTTGTATTTAGATTTATAATACCGCTCGATCAAGAAAGATTTATTAAAGGCCGGCTTTACAATAACCATAGAATTGGATCCAATCGGTCAGAGTCCAAGTCTATAGGAGACAGTTTTTAGTGTTTCCTCTTTTCTTTTTGAGTTTATATGGAAGTTAACCTCCTGTTCTCTGTCAAAAACCAGATAAAAAGCTTACAGGAAAAAAAGAAAAAACTAGAGGAAGAAATTAAAACACTTCAAATGGAAAATCAAAATCTCCAAAAGGACAAAGAAGAAAAGGAAAAAGAGCTAAACATCAGCCAGAAAGAATGCATAGTTCTGCAGAATAAGGAGATGGCCATGATCGCGGAGATTGCTGCCTACAAGACTCTGCTGGAAGTTGAGGAGGATAGGTAATATATAAAAGGATCAAACTATTTAAGTTTCCAATGAGAATTAAATTCTAATAGTGTGGCCCTTTCCAGAATCAAGTCAACTGTGGAGGATGTTCCCCCCACTCCTGGAGGTAAGTGAGCTGAAGACTTAAAAATATGAACACAGCACCTAAAGTTCTGCTCCCACAGACTAACAAGGTAAAGCTTTACAACTAAACCCCAGATAGTCCTGGAAATCCCTCCCCTTACACTTTGACTCCATCTGTTGTTGGGTCATTCAAGGTACCAGAAATTATTGCCAAATCTGTTTTCTGGGTAGTCCAGAAGTTGCTGGACCAGAAACTATGATAAATATAAACAATAAAATGCTTGGTGCATATGGTCACGTTGCAAAAAGTAGATGAATCCATCTATTTCAATTTGAATTCTACCCCATATCATCTGGAACGGCTCTTGTGGATAGTGTTCGCAAAAGGGACGGACATTCAGTACAAACCTTTAACCTGATTGGGTAAATCACCAAGCAGAACCTTTCAGCAGGTTAATCCAATCACAGCAGCAGTAGCAGCTGTGTCGAAATAAATTGAGAAATAAAACTCTTAACAAATCCAGTCCGGAGGAACAAGCATGCAAACATCTTCCCATCCACAAAGGCACAAATCATGTCATTTTGTCGGCTTTTCAAAATAGAAATAGAGGGAATTCCTGCTAACACCGGTGCAGGCATCTTTGTTTTGATTCAGCCTTCTGCATTTCATTGGATCTGTTTGCTTCTACCGAGATGTATTTTCAATTTAATTTTTGTCTTAAGTGTTAGTTATATTTGAAGACGGATAACCTTTAGCACCTAGCTATATTTATATAGATTCATCCATCCGGCAGTATACGAACGAGAGGCACGGTACACCCTGGACAGGGCGCCAGTCCGTCGTAGGTCTATATAGATTTGGGAAGCTACATTCATCCTTCATAAATATCTTTAGGCTTATGGCCATGTGAAGGCACAAATGTGTACCACTTAACTTCACAAATCAACATATTTTTGGTCCAAGAAAGTAAGCCATTGGGATTTGAATTTGCAGGCCGACTTTCATGATGTGCTTTAGCTCAGAAAGGCATGAAGCAGGCAGATAAAAATACAAACAAAACATTTTTATGCATCTTTTAACCTCATTGATTAAGACCATAAAATATGGAAAAACACGCTTTATTTTGAGCTTAATCAGAACAATGACATAACCATTAAATGGGTAAATCCACAACTTCCTTACAGCAAGTTGGGTTTGGGAGGCCACAAATATGCATGGGTTCAAGAGCAACCCATCTTGGCCCAGCCAAGCCTGTCAGCTGCCCTGGCACTGGACTCTTATTGGTTCTGATGGGAGCAGTGATGATTATAGGCTCTATCAGCAGCTGGGAGGAGGGATCTGTGAAAATGCTCCTTTATGCACCTAGGGTGAACGAAGGAGTATAAGGTGCACCTAGGATATGGAAGTTGTTAAATTCTGTAACAACTCCATGCATGGTGTGGAAGACATTGTTCAAAAGTGATGTAATTTTGTTAAAGTCCTTTACTCTACCAGAACATGTTCTGTGTCCAGGGGAGATTTATTCAATCACTTCCTCTCAGCTGCTGATAAGCTACTGCTCCATCATACTCCATCATAGAAAAAGCAGGATACCACCTACAGAGTCAAAGAGGGTCTTCAGTGGCACTCTTGCTATCCTTCCCTTGATTTTCTTATCTTTCTTCCAGTCTTTTACAGAAGCAGAACTCCCTCTTCAACATTTTTAAAGAAAATCTAAGAGGAGGAAAACTAATTCTTTCTTTTATTTCCCTCTGATTACGCAGGACCAAATAGCACCCCAAAGAACAGCAATCCTAAATCTCCCCTCACACCGCAACCAGGAATGATCTTCACTGCTGTCCTCCTTGAACAATTTGAAGTTTTTTGATTACACACAGTAAGGTATAATAGTAGCTATAGCCTTTTGAAACCCAGGTTGCTCTGATGCAAAGTGACAAAACAGACAAACACTCCTGGAAAGTCTGGTTGCTTCTATTATTTAACTAATTTTAAAACTCAGGCGTTTCCTGCTCCAGATCAGTTTTCTAGTTTTCATGGGGATCCAAAGAATGTTCCCTTGTCAAAATTCCTCTTACTGGCAAAGCATTCTGGGAAAACCTCCAGAGGGAGGAGTCCAATAGGCTGTAGAGTCTGACTGATAGGAGATTTTGAAGGCCGATATCAATATTGGGGGGATTAAAAAAAATAATAATAATATCTGATATATTAGCCGATATCCAATATATATTGGCCAGAATATATATATAAAAAAATAATGGTTAAACATGGAGTTGGACTATGGTTGGACAGTGCATACATGGTATGTATGCACTGTCCAACCATAGTCCAACTCAAATTCTCATTATAACCAAAAATATGATTCAAGACAAAGGAACAGAACATAGAACTATAGAAATAAAATAAGTTCTCCACCCATTCAGAAAAAACGCATCAATAATTTATGTTTTTCTTATTTACTAGGAAGTGTAAAGTTCCCTCCCCACTGAACACAAGGGACTAAACTAGATTTAAGCAACAACACTGCAGCTTTCTACTTAAATCCAAACAAGATTAAAACGAAATAAAGAAGTTGGAGCCTTTTAATAATTTTTTTATGAAAACATTCATTTCTGAATTTATGAGCCCCAGTACAACCTGCATGTCAGCATTAAGTGTAGTGCGATACGATATAATTATCTTATATTCATTTTGAAATTATGTTTATTTCACAAAGAGCTAAAACTTACACAGGGCTAAAATAAATAAAATGTTTATATCAGCCATATTTGGCCGATTATTAACCCAGATGCTAAAATCTGGTCGGGCTCTATTGGACAGTTTTATCAGTTTTATCAGATGCTCAAACCTAATCAGCTGGTAGTCCATGTTGCAATTCTTTACATATCTGTGAGGTATTCCTGGGCCACCCAGAGAAAAATTTGTTAGATAAACCCTTTACTGAACAAAACATCAAAATAAGTAATTCAATTCAGTTTATTTCATTAGCGCCAATTCTCATCACATGTCATCTCAAGGCACTTTACAGTTCACCTGATCATCCAGTCAAATTGATTTAAAGTTTTCTAAGGAAAACCAGTTGGTTGCATCGACTCATTGACTCAAATGCAATCCCTCACACTAAACATGCTTGTGGCGACAGTGGAGAGGAAAAACTCCCTTTTAATAGGAAGAAACCTCCAGCAGAACCAGGCTCAGTGTGAGCGGCCATCTGCTGAGGCCCACTGGGGTTCAAGGAGACAGAAACATAGATAGAAAAAGCAACTGTAAAAGGTGGCCCCGTCCAGGAAACACACAGCCAGGCAGACGAGCTCCGAGCCAGCTCCCATGTCAGAGGATGAAGAGAGCACATCCAGTTAGAGTCAGAGAAACAGGACTACCCTGGAAAACAGGCAGATCTCCAACATCTATAAAAAAAGTACTATGGCCACTCGAGATTAGGATAAGCCAAAGAAAAGCTCTTGTGAATCATAACAGCTCTACTATTGTGAATGGGTTGGATGTATCCAGCACCACTGTGAACCAAAACAAAACGTCAGTCTCTGCGTCTCTTATGGCAAATTCCAGTTCAAGGTCCAAAGTCCTCTATAAAGTATTCCAGTGGGATCTTTTAGTACTTTTATGTATATTTCTGTCAAAAAATGACTCAGGTAGCAGTAAATGAGTAATATTACTGGTTACCAACTAATTCTGGTATCAATAAGTCAGAAAGTTAAGAACCGGCTGTTTAATGTTGCATAGACCATCCTGGGTTTTAGGGTTTTTTTTTAAATTGATATCCATCAGACAAAAAAGGTAAGGCTGATTTCATTCACATTTCTGGTCATATTTATTTTTTTATATATTAGTCAACTTTTTCATATAGAGATCAGAACCACATACAATAGAAACAATATTTGTAATAAAACCTGTTTTAAATTCTATCCAACTCTGTAGAATATTAAGCCATAACCTGTGCATTTATCCATGTAAACAATTATTAGACAAGTTGTGTCTCAATAATGTTTGGATCCAAAAGTCTAATTAATTTTCTGGGAATTCAAACCCTGTTAATCCAAATACCTTCAATTTATAGTAAATATTTAATGAAACATAATGTTTCTCTTTACCCTGCTTATAATGTATAGAATCCTAATTTGTCTTTTTCCCTTCATTTCTAGCTGGACGGCAGTAAGAGAGGAGAGTAAATGTTTCCTCATGGAGCAGTTTGGAAAAAGCTAATAATGTTAAAAAGTTATTGAAACAAAAAAATACATTATAACCTGCACTGCTTATGACGTGTTTCCTTTGCTGTCATTTATTGCCTTTCTATTCTTCCTTTTTTTGCTAGTTTATTCAGCTGAATATGTCAGACATGCATGAAATTCTTAACTGTTTCCTGAATCATTACATCAAAAAGGCATTCACTATCCTTTCTCTGTGGAGGCCTTCAAGATCCAGTAATGGCTTTTGCCAGAGAGTCTTGGAAAACTGCTCAACAAATAATAAAAAATGAGCCGTATTCATCAAGCAGATCCTCCATTTGGTATAACAAGAAACTGCTAATAGGTAAGAAAAGCTTCTTTTGGGACAAGTGGGTTAGATCTGGAATTCACATTCTTGAGGATGTGACGGGACACGCAGGATTTAAATCCATCAATGAAATTTAAACGAAATATAATTTGTTCAATTCAGAAATATGGTGAGATTTACAAATCAGACATTGCTTTCTCTCAAACGAACATATTCAGTACAGTCAGACAGAAATCCAGGTAATATCCCATAAGACTGGAGAGAAAAACAGAAGAGCTTCATATTTCTACAAACTTATTAGAAGTACGCAGGCACCTAAACTGGACGGGATTCAAGCATGTTGGCCATGAGATTCCAGGAAATGATTGGGAAAAATTATGCTAATCATGGCACTGTTATTTGCGTCAAGCATAATCTCAACTAATTCTTTTTAAGATATCAAATAGATCCTACTGGACATCTTCCAAATTGGCAACCCCGGGGTACACATTTGGTCAAAAACCCTGCATTATGTTTGTTAGTATTACTCCCAGATTATATTAAAATGTCAAAACATCAGAAATCTTGGCTCTGTTTAGCTAAGACAACAGGGTGCAGGATAACTTTACGCCAATGGAAATCTCCCACTCAGTCCATGTTTAAGGAGTGGATACAGGGTCCCCTATAGGGCGGCTGGGAGGGAAGACATATTTGATGAGGTGTGGGGCCCATTCCTAGCTCAATTGCTGTAAGGATGTCTCCTTCTTCTTATATTTTATTAGATACAGGAACAGGATTGCTATAATAGACTTTCTAGGGTGTTTTAGTGTTTTGTTTTGCGAATTATGTTATATGTTGTTGGTCTGGCTTGTTATTTACATTGTTGCTGGACTGCTTTTTCTTTCTTTCATTACTCTTATTATTACTCTTATTATTTTGCCTTGTTTTATGCTTATTTGTGTAGGGAAGACAAAAGAAGCTAGTCAGTTGCTAACTTCACACAGGATGTTTTTCTTATTCATGTTACTGTAACTAGATAATGGGTGCTCTTCTGTATCTGTGACAAAAAAAAAACAATAAAAAATATATATATATTGGTGTTTTTGTGACGTGGTTAGTTCTGTAACTTAGACAAGGGGTCTTCCAACACTTTCCAGGTCAAGACCTACAAACTGATGGCGAGATGGAGCGGGGACTCCCTAATTATATATATATATTGTATGAAATTGTGTTAAATCAAACTGGTCCTATAGTCTCTCTATTACTGATGGAGTCATGTAACGAAGGTAGTTTCACTATTGAAGTATTTCCGATTCCTGGTTGATGGGACAGGTGTTGTGAATGAAACGGTGCCCAGCTTGAAAGAGCTCCTGTGTGTCGCTGAATGTGTGCATTGATGACTGAAAGACATCTTCTGCCTCCATTTATCTGTTTACTACAGTGTGTTGAATTCATGTTAATGTGGATTTAAAGACATTTCAATTAGTGGAAAAGAATTGCAGGGGGGAATATAAAAAAACTAATCAACCAAAACTTTTGCGACCCCCATGCAGTACCTCTGAGGACCCCTAGGGGTCGCAGACCCCCTGTTGAAGACCTCCACTTTAGACCAAACAACCTAATTTGAATGCCTTGAACACTTTGTGTTTAATTGATTTCTATGCTCTGAAGGAAGGATGAAAATACAAACACTTAGTTGCAAAATGAGAAGATCTATTTACCTGGTTGGTGTTTGTGGAGCAGCTTTAACACAAACACTGATAAGCAGCAGCAGCAGCTTCTGTAATTTGTCACCTAATGCTGGATTCTTCACCTCAGACCCATCCTAGAGAAAAAGAAGCGTCACTGTCTTCCTGCTCGCTAATGGCTGCAGAGAAACAAGCAGGGCGGAGCCGTTGGCGTGAGGCGGAGAAGACAGGATCATAGGGTGTGGTCTAAGAATGGCTGACAGCTGGTAGCATTGAGTGGTTGGGACAAGGATGACGTCCAAATCTAAACCACTTCCTCTCCAGGGGGGGACCTAGAGGGGTTGCCAGGGGGGCCAAGGCCACCCCTAGTCAAACCACGCCTGTGGCCATCCCTTCCAGGTAATTTGTTACTCTAAGCCTGTAGGTGGCAGCAGAGATACCCTAATGCAGAATTTCCTACTTTGGCATTTTAACGCTGGTTTATTAACCAAAAACTGAATGCAAATATGCTGCAAAAAATAATTTACAGCAATATACTATAAAGAATGTTTGCTGTGCAATGAATTGGTTTTTAAATTTAATGTGGGAGTTTGTCTCTGCAGTCAACTAGGAGTCTACTCTACAGATAAAGAACATTGATCAACCCATTTAATTTATATATTATGTAAAACCATACATTAATTCATTGGGTAATCGGGAAATACCCACTGCTAACAGTGAACTGAACACAGCTATAAGGAGAAGGCTCTAAGTGGCTGCAGCTGTATGAAGGTTTCAATGTTTGGTTGAGATTTGAGGACCCAAATGCAGAGGCAGGGGGTTTGAGGTGAGTTCTTTCAGTTTTAATAGAATAATCATAGTTAACAGAGGAAGCAATCCAAAAAATCCGACTTAAAATGTTAAACTAACCAGAACCATGGAGACATCAGGAAAACAAGCACAGGGAGCCAGGAAACACTAGGAACCAGCACTGAGGACCTGCACAGGGAGAGTATTCATGGTTGACTGAACAAGGACAGGACTGATGAGCTGATTGGGAGCAGGTGTGAACAGAGGCTTCTAGAAGGAGCTAGGGAAAAGGAGACCAACACAAGAGGGCGACAAAGAAAAGCCTAAGAACTGAAATGCATCCAGAAACACAACAAAATATGAATTAAATCAATAAAACTAGAAAACAAAGAAAAACATGAATCAACATGAACCTGAAAACTCAGAGAAAACTTAACAGAACTAAGACCATAACAGAAGGAGTATCACGGCCATACTAAGATCATTGTGTGATTATGAGAATAAAGTCAAAATTTAAATAAACTCATATTAATAATCTCATGGTAATTAATTACTAATGAGCTTATTTAACTTCTTATTTAACTTGGCATTAATGTGGTAATAGTACGACTCAGTCTGGAAGCATTTACGCTTTAACTTGAATCTTGTAATGTTAAAATTTTATTCCTGCAATGTGACTTTATTCTGAAACAATTATATTATGATTTTATTCTTGTAAATATGATTTTATTTTCCAAATAGCGTGACTTTATTCTCATAAAGTCTCAGTAATTGTATTACTTTAATTTGTAGACCAAGTATTAAGACTTTAGTCTCATATTATGACTTAAGTTTTGTAATTTGTAAAATAATTCTCAGTTTGTCCCCAATAGTTTTCATAGCAGCTAAACATTGGAAATAGGAGAGAGAATCAGCCAGACTGAGTCACCACATGAATCAGCTAAACTAAGAAAAAATGTAATTCTTGCAACCTGTATCTTCAAAATTAAACGAATTATTAGGAAGCAATATCATGATGACTTACTTACTTTTTGGTGTTTTTTGAAGCGTATGGTGATCTGACCATAAACTGTTTTTTTATACATGACCGAAGGAATACACGCCCGTTGAGGTAGTTTAAAGTCTATTTTACGAACAACACTAAAGGGATAGACGCAATAGACTATAGGTATGCTGGTCTGATGGGGTATGGTGATCTGACAGAACACCTGTATCCTGTAACTGTGACATGTTTCCTTTGCACTAAACACCTGAATCAAATAGCGGACCTAGCAGGAAACAGGAGATAAGCCTCTGGTCCAACGCCCCACCTGGCTTAAGAAACCTGTTCAAAGACTTACTTTTACTTATTATTTAGGTAGCACACACATACCATACTTATCTTATTCTATTCTTATATCTTATTTTTAATTAGAATCTTATTTTTCTCTCTTCTGTAAACAGTTCCACTGGAAGAAAAAGATTTCCCGCAGGGGATTAATAAAGTTATTCGGATTCTGATTCATGAAGCCCTTTGGTAGAATTTAAATGAACCATTTTAATCTAGATTAATTCCAATATTACAGTGAGATTAATCTGGATTAAAAAAGTAATCTATGCCAACCACTAATATATATATATAGTGAAGAGAATTGGTCATAGCACTGATCCCTGTGGTACCCCACAGGTAACCCTGGAGCATGAGGAAGATTTATCATTAACATGAACAAACTGATATCGGTCAGAGTGGTTTAAATCTTATTTAAGATTACATTCTAGTGCTGTTCCTTTAATTCCTACAAAATATTCAAGTATTTCTTAAGGAATATTGTGATCAACTGTATCAAATGTAGCACTGAGATCCAACAGGACTAGAACAGATACAAGTCCATTATCTATGGTGACCAGATTTGGTCGAGAGTAAATCTTTGTCTACGTCATCATCATCATCCAGATGAAGAGCTGAGGCTGAAACAGCTGCTCTTATGGCTCATCAGAAGCTGCTGAGGGAGAAACCTGCTCTGGAGGAGCAGCTGAGGAGAAAGGAGGAGGAGTAGCTGTTGGACATGGAGCTGAACTTTCCTCTCATGAGCTAATGCTTTGATGCCCAGTGATGCTGCAGAATCAAATTCAATAATTCAGTTGCAGGTTCCTACTGAAAACTATCCCCACAGCATGATGCTGCCACCACTGTGCTCCACAATGTTTGAGATGCTCTGTGCAAACAAACCTACTTGGGGCTCAGAAATGTAGTTATGTTTCAATCAGACCAGAACAAATTCTCCTGCAGGGTTCAGGGAGACTTGGATAGATTTGGTCCTTCTGGTCTGAACTTTATTCCAGACACATGGAGAACCTGAAGAACCCGACCAGTACTTCTTAGAGATCCCTGCAGCTCCTTTAGTGTTCCTGGTTCTGACCCGTTTCTGTGTTTTTCGCATTCTGGAGAACCAGACAGCTTTTCTAGTGTCAGACTTGGTCCCGGTGTTCTCCAGGTACCGATGCCTCTCTTCAGTGTATGATGGTAAAAATGGAATAATGTGGTATTGTTTAGTGTTCTTCTCCTGACTGATACCTTTATGCACTGAGATTTATTTGTTCCTCTGGAACGTCTGAGCTTCAGATGTGAGCAAAGTTTGTTTCCAGGTTCAGATTATTCAGATAATTCTCCTTTATTCCAAATCTGACCTCAAAGAACATGGATTTTAGGATTACATCAACCAGATTATAGCAGAATATTTGACACTTATAAAAGTAGGAAATTATTTCTCATGATCTTCTGTTTTATAGTCACAGAAACCTGATATTTTATCAGCTCTGTTTCTCTTTTTGTTTATCTGAATTTCTAATCTCAGATTCAATCATTGATTTCCTGACATATCGAAACTAGAGATTTTTAAAACAAGCTTGAAACGTCATTGTTTGCAGGAAAACAGATCCTGAAATTAATCGCTACCAATTACCTACATGTTATCTATTTAAACTGTTACCATAGCAACACAACGTAGAGATCTCAAGTCCAAAAAGTGATCCAGTCGATACAAAACAGCTCTTAAGATGAGATATGTGGACGGCAATCAGAGCTCTGGCTGCAGTCCTGAGCCCAGCTGCACTTTGATTAGCTGTGGTTCTGGAAGAATCTGGAAGAGCTAAGAATAGGCTGAGAGCAGCAGAGAGGAGCTGCCAGGGGCTTCCTGATCACCTGATCACCATTAGTGTCCGTTTTCTGCATAGAGGTGGGTTTCAGCACCAGGCCAAGGTGGACAGTCTGGTTCTGGGTTTAATCTGCTGAGATTTTAATCCCAACTTTAACCCATGTGTGTTTCTTGATCTGATCCTGTTTTACTTTAGGTTTACTGGACTCCACACTGACACATACATAGAAAGATGCTAAATTCCTCTAGCTGCTTGGTTGTAGCAGCACCTGCACACATATATCGTTATATTACCTGAAATATTTGTCTTACTAGATGCAAAGAGCTAAAACCAACTCAGTCCAGGCTATGTGCCAACAATATTTCTTAGTCTAACTTTTTCAACTAAGTGAAGGAGGATTTATTAAATGGACAGGTTTTAAATACACTCTAGAAAGATATAGAGATTAATACTGACAGAGGAACACCATTAAATAATATTAGAGATTAAGGTTACCTGAAATTGTCATAAAGATTGTAATCTATATAAAAACATATAAAAAAAAAAAACAATTATTACAATCCATAAGGTTTTTATTGCTGCATCCATTTAGAAGCGATTACAAAATTTTTTAACATTCACAGAATAACATAATACATAAAAACAGCCGTATAAAAGATGCAACACTCACTTTCAATCAATACTTAGTAGAAAATGTACTCTTCTAGAAAAGAATCAGAGTTCTTGAATATATTTTTAACACAAAAAGCTTTTTACAAAGTTAAAGCAGGTTCAAACTGATCAGAAATAATTAGAACTTTAAACCAAATAATGCAACAACTTCTGTCTTATTGGATTTTAAAACAAAACATATTTAATTGCTTTAGGAATTCAGTTTACCTGAACTACAGACTCCAGCCTCTAAAGTGTTTGAGTTCTTAGTCCCGTAGTTTAACCCCATAATCCAGAGCCTTTAAAGGTGGCTGGAGCTACTTTACAACATTAATTAGCTTGTAGCTGATTAACTCTGAGACTGAGACACATTTCTATATGTCCCTAATCTTTATCTGAGACAAAACACAAAGCAAAACACTCAGATAGCCTAAATGCAATTATTAACCAAGATTTTGTTTTGGTGGGCCTGGTTTCAACAACATACAAAGCAGCACAGATTGATGCATTACTAATGAAAGCCAACAAGACATTAAATTAGCAAAACTGATCATTTGAAGCTAAACTCTTAAAAATAATCCTCCAAAATCATCAGCAAACTGGGTAAAGCCCATAAAATCTGTCCTATATTTGCATTTATTTTCATCCGAGTATATTTCCATCAAAGTCTGTCTCTGGAATATATCCAACAGATTTTATCGTTCAGCGTTGCCTAATAATCCTGCACAGAAATATTTACATGTACACACAAACATCCTTATAAAATGGACAAAAAAAAAAAAAAAAAAAAAAAAAAAAAAACAACTTCCAAAAGTATGAAACTTTGATATTAATGAGTCTTTTGGGTTGACTGAGAACATAATTGTGGCCCAATAATAAAAAATAATCCTCAAACATACAACTTGCCTAATTATTCTGCACACAGTGTACACTAAAGAAGCAATAAACATTCAGCCTATTAGCTGAGTCTTTTTCACGTCAGCGGGGTGTCAGCTTCACACAGCTGAAGCTCCTCCTATTGACATCCTATTGACATGACATGGTCCAGAGTGTAAACACTGCATCTAAAATGAAACTCCCCGCAGGGCTCGCAGAAATCACAGCAGACACTGCGTTAAGTCTGCACGTACCATAACCAAGAAGTTTTAGTAGTAATTTATTATGTTTGTTTCCATCATTAGAGGAATGGTAAGACTTTTTGCAAGTTAACTTCTTTTTTAGGGCAACGTTGTTGTTTTTTTTTACATTTAAATCAAATTTACGCAAGTCCAGAATAATTAACTTTCAACATAGTCATATCCATATCCTTTATGTCAGTTGGTAACTAGATTAACAGTTTAGGCAGTATAAAAGTTGAGAGATGCCTCATAAAGTATTGGAAGTACATTGTTTTGGAATATAAACAAGCAGGGTTGCAATATACACGTTATCTGTAAAACATCTTCTGTAGTTTTGATGTAAACAGTAGATAATTGCTTTTATTCAAAGGTTTTCTCAAAGCGTTGTTAGAAAAAGGCCTTTAAAGTGTTAGATTCTCATGTAATGAAGTAATAGAGTTTCTAGATAGGCATTTTCTCACAAGTCAAACATGGAAATGGCCTCTACTGTCAAACTGCTCTTATTCTTATTTGACGCCATACATTCTTACCTCCACTAAGGAGGATTTTTTTAAATTTTATTTGGATTTGTGTGTGTTGTTTGTCTGTCCGTCTTTATACCGGATAACTTGCAAAGCTATAAATTAAATAAAGTCTGCATCATATTTAGTCACCAAATGTGCAACGCAGTCCAAGGAACAATCCATTACATTTTGGCGATGATCCACATCATACTCCAGAGTACGGTGTAAATAATAATCGTTTTGTATCGATGCATCGATCCAACAGCCGACGATTCGATGCATCGATGCGTCCGCAAGAGAATCGATTCGTTTTTTTTTTTTCCTCCTGTCTATTTTTATCAATTTGCTCCTGGGCGTAATTCTCCCTCCCGTGCTGCGGTGGCGCTAAACCTATTTTGGCCTCCTACTGCGCTTCCTGGTTATACTCTTACACCAGTGTGTTGCAGTGAGCTTGATGCAGACATTTTTAAATTATGCTCAATATTGAAGCGTGGTCTGAGCTACACACTGTGGGTCTAGATACGGCCGAGGCGGACAGAAAGTGGGGGCGAGTTTAGTCCGACGACGGAGGGACATGAGGGCCAAAAAGAGCGGAGATCCAGGTGGAAAAATAGTCCCAGCGTTCTCGCGCACCTCGCTCTTCAAACTTCACGAGTTGTTTTCCGCAATTTCGGCCATAAAAACAAGACAAGCCGGCCTCCTGTCTGCGGCACTGTCTGCGGTCAGCTACAATTTGGGAGAGGAGCAGCGGAGCGTCTGTGGAGGGGGCGGGGCCGTCTGGAGCCGAGGTATTGCATTGCACTCAATGCACTGATTTTGTGCAGTATTTTTTGATGCAAACCCTTTCAGAATCTATAACGCAGGGGTATTATTATTTTTCAGTGAATGAGGTTTTAATAGGAATAGGTGGAGTGCAACTTTTCTACTTCTGTGATTTGCTGTTGTTTCTCAAATAAAATGCATAACGATATTACAGCTTTCATTGATTTATTTCAAATTTGAAACATTGTCTAGCCTGTAAGGATAAAAAAAAAAAAAACAATCAATCGAATCGTGGTGTATTCTTGAGTATCGAAAATAATCGAATCGTTGGGTCAGGAAATCGATACTGAATCGAATCGCCATGATGGATGTGATTTACACCCTTACTCCAGAGACAGGAATTTTCTTTTGTCTTCATGCATGAATAAATGTCATGCGACTACTCAAATGACCCTTTAATTTAAAACTGTTGTCACAAATCAAAAAGGAGAACGGCTTCTCAGCCATGTGAATTTTGATGTTAAATTTCAGTAAAGCTTTTTCCACAAGGTTTCCTTAAATCTTCTCACAAATATGGGTTTTCGTGTGTTTAATCAAAATACTTTCATTAAAATGTTTGCCACAAATCGTACAGGGTAATAGCGTTTCACCACTGTGAGCTCTGATGTGTTTATTAAGACCAGATTTATAGATGAAGCTTTTTTCACAGGATAGACATTGATAAGGCTTCTCTCCTGTGTGAGTTCTCATATGTTCAGATAAACTACTTTTTAAAGTATACTTTTTGTCACAAATAGTACAGGAGAATGGCTTCTCTCCTGTGTGGACTCTGATATGTTTATCAAGAATAGATTTCTTATTGAAGCTCTTTCCACAGGACAAACATGTAAACTGCTTCTTGCCTGTGCGAGTTCGGATGTGTTCATTGAAATGACTCTTACTATTGAAACATTTGCCACAAGCTGTACAGATGAAAGGTTTCTCACCTGTGTGAATTCTTGTGTGTGTTTCAAGATGAGATTTCTGAGTGAAGCTTTTTCCACAGGACAGACATTCATAAGGCTTCTCGCCTGTGTGAATTCTCAAGTGGTCGGTCAAATGACTTTTATGATTGAAACCTTTGCCACAATCTTTACAGAAGAAAAGTTTCTCACCTGTGTGCGTCCTAATGTGTTCCTTGAAATTACCCATTTGATTAAAACTTTTGCCACACATTGTACAGGAGAAAGGCTTCTCACCTGTGTGAATTCGGATGTGTATTTTAAGATTTGTTTTCTGAGTGAAGCCTTTTCCACAGTAAAGACATTCATAAATATTTTGGCCTTTGTGAGTTCTCATGTGATCGGTTACATTTTTTCTCTTTTTAAAGTTTTTTCCACACGTCAAACATGAAAAATGTTTCTCTCCTGTATCTTCAGTCTGCCGCTTCAGATCAAGCTGCTCTTCATGCTCCCTTATGGGGAGCTCCATGGTTTCCTCTTTAGTCCAGGGATCTTCTGGCTTTAGCTGCTCTTCTTTTATCTGCAGAGCTTCTCGTTCCTCTTGGTCCAAACTTGAATTCCTCTCCTGTTCACAGAGCAGCTGGTCAGAGGAAACCTCTTTTCCAACATAATCCTGCAGGTGCTCTGGAAAGACAAACACAAGAGAATGACTTTCTATTATTGGTTAAAGAAAGGACACTTCTCTTTAACAATTTTTGTCTGGATCCAAGTACATATAAACAGATTGGAACATGCACTGCAGCTCTGACATGACAATAGCAGGTTATGGGCATGGCTAATCTCTACAACATCATACCCTGCCTAAACCATCCACTTTCGCATCCATTCGCTTGTATTCCATTAGCTTTCCTGCTCTGCAAATAAGTGCAATGCAGTGTCCCATGCTCAGGGCCGGCGATTGCTATAGGCGAGATAGGCAATTGCCTAGGGCGACAAATGTGTTGGGGGCGCCCTCTAGCGTCGCCCTTAGGCTTACTTCCCATTAATCATAGAATTAGAAAAAAAAGCGAATTAAACCGGTTATGAAGCGTCCGTCAGTTTGACTTAACCTTACGTATATATAAATAGCAAAATATGAACAAATAAATATACCACCGTTTTTTTTTATTTATTTTTTCACATTTAAGAGAAAATCGGAAAAGATTCTGATCACTTTTCAAGCGCCCTCCAACCCGGAAGTCGTGACGTCAGAACGGGAGCGTTCATGGCGATCTACTGCACTAAATGCGATAGCCAAAACGAGAAATCTGAAAGCAAAATTTCGACTTCAACCGAGCGATTCCTACCAGGAGACCATTCTGATGTATCGGAGGAAGAATATTTGTGTCTGGAGCCTCACATGTTCGACCCAGATGTTTCAGATGAAGAGAAGGCAGCGGACGAACAACAGCGAGTCGGACAATGAGTGGAGATTGGAAGTCAACAGGTGTTATGCCCAAAAGTGCATGCCTGCCGAAATATGCATCCCCAGTCGCGGGAGCGCGCCTCGCTCTGTTGAACTGCATATCGACGAGGTAAACGGATTAAAATATGTTCAATGGAGCTTAGGTTCTTATATTAATGATATAAAAACGTTTAAAAATACCTCTCGTGGGAAAAAAGTTGTGGTTATTTGGCAGATTAATTTACAAAAGTACGGATTTTTTGAACAACATTAAATCCAAAGATTTTGACCATGGTACGGCTGATTTATTTGTTGTGGTCTCTTGTTATTTACACACAACACTAAACCGTGATAGCCGACGTGAGTTTGGAGTTTGCAAAGGTTTCTCTTAAGTGGAAAATCAAACGCGCATCTACACAGCACAGCGTTCACAGACCAGTTAGATGCATTCGCTGCGCGTCAGAAAGCTATGGTGCATTCAGGAGCATTGGAACATTTCAAACTTACAAGAATGAGGCATAAAACAGAACTGTATTTTACTGAACTGTATTGTATTTTTTTGTTTTTTTTGTTTATGCATCTCACTGGTCTGTGAACGCTGTGCTGTGTAGATGCGCATTTGGGCATAACACCTGGAGATTAGATGAATGGTAGGACAAGTTTTTTCTTTTAACAGTTCAAACATTTTTTTTGTATGTTGACATCATTTTTTTCTCAGTATATATGCAGCAGAATTATGTGCTATATTATTAGCTTGAGAATGGGTAGAAGATACTAATATAAATAAAATATTTTGTAGTGATTATCTGCATTGAGTATTCAAAAGGGATGTACAAATAATCATCAAAATGGGCTTGCACTGATGAGCATCAACCAAGAGGTCTCAAATAAAATCTCATTTGATGATACCATCAACGAATTTGCCATTAGGAAGTCCAGACGAGTCAAATTTTAATGCTGCATCAATTTTGAAGGTGAATAGAAATACCTGAAACAACTGATAGATAGAACTACAAGAACTTCAAACTTTTAATTTTGTAATGGTATTCATAAAAGCACTTTTGTTTGTAGAGGGTTAATCCTTTCTTTAATCACTAATCAATGTCAGAAATCAGGGTAAATATACCTGATATATTTTATTTAGAGGAAAATTTTGTTTATCTCATTTCTATTTATGTTCAAATTATTTAATTGAACTGGAACAGAAAATTTAATTTAATGTTTATCAATTACTTTTTTATGTAGTCCTTGGTTGAAGAATTTCTTAAATTTATTATTTTTTATTGTTATTTGGTAATTTCTGAAATTGATTTATTTAATATTTGTTTAATGTGTGTTAAATTTGTTAATTGTCTGAAATAAATTCATTCATTGATTCAATCCAGTTTTTTAGTTATACTTTACCTAAGTGTCCTTACAGATGGTTAAAAGTGTTTTTGCACAGTCCTAACTTTGAGTGTGTAATAAATTATTTAAAATAATAAAAAAGAAAAGGTACCGAAACCTATTCTGGTATTTGTCTATGCATCACTCCATGCTAAGTTACATTTTTTTCTGAATGCTTAAACACAACCTTGATTCTTGTAGCACAATTTCTAAAACTATTAATACTTATAGCAAATCCACTCACTGAGTTCACAAAACTAAAAGAACAAACACTGCTTTGCACTCAATTTGCAATTTTGTAACACACACTTTGCACAACTGTAGGCACAATTCACCACACAGCACTCTTTGTGGAACTGTAAACACAACACAATGAAGCACTAAACAGATGCTGAAAACAGTAGTGGTATTTCGCACGGCAAAAGTGAGGGGGGGGCAAAACTCAATCTCGCCTAGGGCAACCAAAGGGCCAGAACCGGCCCTGCCCATGCTACAACAGAAACGATATCAAGAAAGACATTTCTTTTTCTCGATTTCTTTTAACAAGAAAGGGTTAAGGTAAGCCTCGCGTTAACTAGCTACCAGATGTTAACTACAAAAAAAAGCGCTACATTTGTCTTCTTTGTTAGCGCTTAGAAGAGTTTTCAAGACTATTGCTTCCCTTCTTTAACTTATTGCAGTAATTTGTGGATGCCAAAAAATACATTTAGTACGTGTTCTGTATCAGAAAACCTGACTTTAAAATCAACTTAAATACCTTTAGCAGCCTACACCTAGCTAAACAACACATCTGAAAGTTAGCAGGGGCTATATATTAGGGTTAGTTTTATTTATGATTAATAAATAAAGCTGAAACCATTGTATCAAAAACAATTTTGATTGCTAGTTAAAGGGCAACAGATGGTGATAAGGATTCATTTCAATGGATAACAGAAATACTTTATCCATTTCTCTCTTTCTACTGTCTTACAGAAACTTGGCTACAGTGAGAGGATTATGTGAGCATGAATGAGACAACTCCCTATATTTTTTTTAATATTCACATACCCAGAAATTCTGGGCGAGGAGGGGGAGTAGTAACAATCTTTAACAAAGGCAGTTAATAATTACAACTCTTTTGAAAATTTAACCCTTAGTTTCCCTCATCAAAATTGCAAAGCAAAAAAAAAAAAAGAAAGAATTCTTTTTATACCTTTTTATAAGAAGTTTACATATTATCCAATACGTCCTTACTCTGAACTTTTAGGTGAGTTTTCAGAGTTCCTATCTGATTTTTGGTGTTGAATACAACAGTGTCATTATAGTGGGGGATTTTAACATCCATGCTGACATTGAAGGCGATAGCTTAAATGCAGCCTTTAATTCCATCTTAGGCCCCGTCCACACGAAGTCAAAACGAACACGAAACGCTAATATTTTCCAGAACGTTTGTCGTAAAGACGGAGATGTAAAATAAATGTGATCGTCCACACGAATGCATGAAAACGCTGCAAAATGTATGCCAGGCCTGTAAGTGGCGCTGTGGTGCCAAAGCAAAAATAGGCGACGAAATGTTGGGCATGCGCACTAATATTTATACATGGTTGCCCTGCGGGTCCATTTTCGTGGTTCAGTCAAATTCAGGTGCTGAACTATGTCGTCAATATTGCTCTGTTCTTCCTGGAGATATTCCAGAAGAAGATTCTGTTGTAAGCCTGACAGCAGGGTGAGTAGCATGAGCAGCAACCATTCAACACAGTACGACGCCATTGTTGTTGTGATGTGTCGCGCATGCGTGTTTAGAGGCGACGCTATGACGCATGCGTGTAAAAAAAAAAATGCGGTTAGAGCTTAAGAATGGAAACGCGAAAACGGCGTTTCAAAATCTTCCCACTCTGAAGGCTTAATAAAAAAAAGATCGTTTACAGACCCCCGAAACGCCGGCTTCGTGTGGATGAGAGGCTGGTTTGGTGAAAAATTTGTGCGTTGAGGCCAGGGTTCGGCTTCGTGTGGACGGGGCCTTAGACTTGATTGGCTTCGTGCAAAATGTGAGTAGTCCCACACATTCTCATCTTCATACTTTGGATATGGCATTCAATATGAAGAAATAACGGTATTTCCTCACAACCCTGTCCTCTCTGACCACTTTTTAATAACCTTCAGGACTACTTTAACAGAGTTCTCCTCCCCTATAAGAAGGTTTCACTTTAGCCGATCATTATCAGATAATGCAGTTTTAAAGTTTAAAGAATCTGCCTCACTTTCTCTCTCCTCTGTGTCACTGAAAAGTGCTGCAGAGGGCAAAAGTTTAGTTTATTCCCCTTCACAGGTTGATGATTTTGTTGATGGGGTTGCTAGTTCTCTGCATAGTACCTTAGACAACATAGCCCCTATGAAAAAGAAAAAAAATGAAAATAAAAAGCCGTCTCCCCGATTTAAAGCAGAAATGTACACTCTGAAGCAGGAGTCCTACCTAGTCTTGAAAAACTGTTTATTGATCTTTAAGATTACGCTTTGTAAAGCAAGAGCAGGATATTTCTGATTAATAGAGGAGATGAAAATAATTCTAGATTTATTTCTAACAGAGTTGTCAAACTCATCCAGAGCCTCTGTTGCCATAATATGGCTTTGTTGGGCTACTCTATAAAGCTTGGAACTCAACCCTAATCCATGCATCTTGAATTGAAAAAGCTTCCTTGGTGGGAAGTAAAATGTCTTCAAACTTGGAAAAGAAGTTCAGTGGTTTGTTTTGTAACTTTTTTGGATTGTTGAGAACTTTTTTTTTTTCATTGTCATTACTCTTTCACAAGTACGGAGCAACAAAATTCACTCTGAATTTAACAAATCCATTTGGTGAGCAGTAGGCTGCCATTGA